GGGGGGTTTTTTGGGTTTTGGGGGGGTTTTTTGGGGTAGTTTTGGGGTATTTCGGGGCCGTACCAGAGCCCCTGGCGCTGCAGCGAGCGCACGTGGGCCGGGAGCAGCACCAGGGAAATCTCGGCTTTGACCTTGGAGCCCTCCAGGATGGGATCCACGAGCAGGAAATCGCCTGGGGGGACACGGGGGTCACCCGGGGGTCACCCAGGGGTCACCCGGGGGTCACCCGGGGGTCACCCAGGGGTCACCCGGGGGTCACCCAGGGGTCACGGGGTCACAGGAGTGGCCTGGGGACAGACGCAGGGACAGCGCCCGGGGTGGGGAGGGGCAGCAGGGGACAGTGGGGGAGGGCGGGTGACGGTGACAAAGTGACAAAGAGCCGGCGGCAGCGCCCTGGTGACGGTGGCGCGGTGACAGCCAGAGGGTGACGATGGCGCGGTGACACAGAACAGCCTGGGGACAGTGACAGGGAGGCAGTGCCAGTGCCCCGGTGACAGTGACAAAGTGACAGTGACACGAGACAGCGGCAGGGTGACAATGGCAGGGTGACAATGACAGGGTGACAATGGCAGGGTGACAATGGCACAGTGACAATGACAGGGTGACAGTGATAGGGTGACACAGTGACACTGACAGGGTGACAATAGCACAGTGACTATGACAGGGTGACACAGTGACAGGGAGGCAGTGCCAGTGCCCCGGTGACAGTGACAAAGTGACAGTGACACGAGACAGCGACAGGGTGACGATGGCAGGGTGACAATGGCACAGTGACAATGACAGGGTGACAGTGATAGGGTGACACAGTGATGCTGACAGGGTGACAATGACAGGGTGACAGTGACAGGGTGAAAATGGCAGGGTGACAATGGCAGGGTTACACAGTGATGGTGACGGTGACAGTGATAGGGTGACACAGTGACGCTGACAGGGTGACAATGACAGGGTGACAGTGGCAAGGTGACAATGGCAGGGTGACAATGGCAGGGTTACACAGTGATGCTGACAGGGTGACAGTGATAGGGTGACACAGTGACACTGACAGGGTGACAATAGCACAGTGACAATGGCAGGGTGACACAGTGACACTGACAGGGTGACAATAGCACAGTGACAATGACAGGGTGACACAGTGACAGTGACAGGGAGGCAGTGCCAGTGCCCTGGTGACAGTGACAAAGTGACAGTGACACGAGACAGCGACAGGGTGACAATGGCAGGGTGACACAGTGACGCTGACAGGGTGACGACAACACAGTGACGCTGACAGAGTGACACTGACAGAGTGACAATGACAGGGTGACAGTGACGGGTGACAGTGGCAGGGTGACAGTGATAGGGTGACACAGTGACGCTAACAGGGTGACAATGGCACAGTGACAATGACAGGATGGGAGAAACGGTGACACAGTCACAGTGACAGGGTGACAATGGCAGGGTGACACAGTGACAGGGTGGCGGTGTCACCTCTCTTGATCCAGATGTGCCGCCGGAAGCGCGGTGGCAGTGACAGGGTGACAATAGCACAGTGACAGGGTGGCAGTGACAGGGTGACACAGTGACAGTGACAGGGTGGCGGTGTCACCTCTCTTGATCCAGATGTGCCGCCGGAAGCGCGGTGGCATGCTGGCCAGGAACCGTGTCCCCTCCGCCGTCTCCACCTCGTGCAGGTTGTTCCCCGGTGTCCCCAACACCTGCGGGGACACTCAGTGTCCCCTCCATGTCCCCAGTGTCCCTCAATGTCCCAAATGTCCCCCCAAATCCCCCCGATGTCCCCAATCCCCCCAATGTCCCTGGTGTCCCACCGGTGTCCCCAGTGTCCCAAATATCCCCCCAATGTCCCTGGTGTCCCACCGGTGTCCTAAGTGTCCCCAGTCCNGGGGGGTTTTTTGGGTTTTGGGGGGGTTTTTTGGGGTAGTTTTGGGGTATTTCGGGGCCGTACCAGAGCCCCTGGCGCTGGGGGGGGCGCACGTGGGCCGGGAGCAGCACCAGGGAAATCTCGGCTTTGACCTTGGAGCCCTCCAGGATGGGATCCACGAGCAGGAAATCGCCTGGGGGGACACGGGGGTCACCCGGGGGTCACCCGGGGGTCACGGGGTCACAGGAGTGGCCTGGGGACAGACGCAGGGACAGCGCCCGGGGTGGGGAGGGGCAGCAGGGGACAGTGGGGGAGGGCGGGTGACGGTGACAAAGTGACAAAGAGCCGGCGGCAGCGCCCTGGTGACGATGGTGCGGTGACAGCCAGAGGGTGACGATGGCGCGGTGACACAGAACAGCCTGGGGACAGTGACAGGGAGGCAGTGCCAGTGCCCCGGTGACAGTGACAAAGTGACAGTGACACGAGACAGCGACAGGGTGACAATGGCAGGCTGGCAATGGCACAGTGACAGTGACAGGGTGACAGTGGCAGGGTGGCAATGGCACAGTGACAATGACAGGGTGACAGTGATAGGGTGACACAGTGACGCTGACAGGGTGACAATGACAGGGTGACAGTGACAGGGTGACAATGGCAGGGTTACACAGTGATGGTGACGGTGACAGTGATAGGGTGACACAGTGACACTGACAGGGTGACAACGACAGGGTGACAATGGCACAGTGACAGAGTGACAATGACAGGGTGACAATGGCACAGTGACAATGACAGGGTGACAGTGATAGGGTGACACAGTGACACTGACAGGGTGACAATGACAGGGTGACAGTGGCAAGGTGACAATGGCAGGGTGACAATGGCAGGGTTACACAGTGATGCTGACAGGGTGACAGTGATAGGGTGACACAGTGACACTGACAGGGTGACAATAGCACAGTGACAATGGCAGGGTGACACAGTGACAGTGACAGGGAGGCAGTGCCAGTGCCCCGGTGACAGTGACAAAGTGACAGTGACACGAGACAGCGACAGGGTGACAATGGCAGGGTGACACAGTGACGCTGACAGGGTGACACTGACAGAGTGACAATGACAGGGTGACAGTGACGGGTGACAATGGCAGGGTGACAGTGATAGGGTGACACAGTGACACTGACAGGGTGACAATGGCACAGTGACAATGACAGGATGGGAGAAACGGTGACACAGTCACAGTCACAGGGTGACAATGGCAGGGTGACACAGTGACAGGGTGGCGGTGTCACCTCTCTTGATCCAGATGTGCCGCTGGAAGCGCGGTGGCAGTGACAGGGTGACAATAGCACAGTGACAGGGTGACACAGTGACAATGACACAGTGACACAGTGACAATGACAGGGTGACACAGTGACAGGGTGGTGGTGTCACCTCTCTTGATCCAGATGTGCCGCCGGAAGCGCGGTGGCAGTGACAGGGTGACAATAGCAAGTGACAGGGTGACACAGTGACAATGACAGGGTGACAATGGCAGGGTGACACAGTGACAAGGTGGCGGTGTCACCTCTCTTGATCCAGATGTGCTGCTGGAAGCGCGGTGGCAGTGACAGGGTGACAATAGCACAGTGACAGGGTGGCAGTGACAGGGTGACACAGTGACAGTGACAATGACACAGTGACAGGGTGACACAGTGACAGGGTGGCGGTGTCACCTCTCTTGATCCAGATGTGCCGCCGGAAGCGCGGTGGCATGCTGGCCAGGAACCGCGTCCCCTCCGCCGTCTCCACCTCGTGCAGGTTGTTCCCCGGTGTCCCCAACACCTGCGGGGACACTCAGTGTCCCCTCCATGTCCCCAACATCCCTCAATGTCCCTGATGTCCCAAATGTCCCCCCAAATCCCCCCAATGTCCCTGGTGTCCCACCGGTGTCCCCAGTGTCCCAAATATCCCCCCAATGTCCCCAGTGTCCCGCCGGTGTCCTAAGTGTCCCCAGTCCCCCCCGATGTCCCCGCGGTGTCCCCAGTGTCCCCCATGTCCCCAGAGTCTCCAATGTCCCCGCAGTGTCCCCAGTGTCCCAAATGTCCCCCCAATCCCTCTGATGTTCCCAATCACTTAATGTCCCCAGTGTCCCCCATGTCCCCAGGGTCTCCAACATCCCCGGTGTCCCCCATGTCCCCGATGTCTCTGCAGTGTCCCCAGTGTCCCCCATGTCCCCAGTCTCCAACGTCCCCGCAGTGTCCCTGATGTCCCCGCAGTGTCCCTGATGTCCCCGCAGTGTCCCCATGTCCCCGGTCTCCCCGGTGTCCCCGCAGTGTCCCCCATGTCCCCAGTGTCCCCGGTGTCCCCCATGTCCCCAGTGTCCCCATGTCCCCGCTGTCCCCGGTGTCCCCATGTCCCCAGTGTCCCCATGTCCCCAATGTCCCCGCAGTGTCCCCGGTGTCCCCCATGTCCCCGGTGTCCCCCATGTCCCCAGTGTCCCCGC